TAAATTTATAAATTTAAAACATTCTTAAAAATAATTTATTTTATTTATTTTTAATTTATTTTAAAATTTTATTTATTTAACTTATTTTAAATTTAATTTTATTCTTCTGTGCTCAACATAAATGTAGCAAAATGGTTCAGAGAAGCTTGTGCCCTCTCTTCTGGGGTGCTTTCTTCACCCCAGATCAGGGCACTTGAAGAGTCAGTCCAGGTTCCTCTTGTGGGATTTGCTTAAAGCATTGAAATTCTCCCAATTTATCATTTTAAAATAAATAATTGAATTAGTTAAATAAATTTTATTGTGTGCTGGTAGAAAACATTATTACCAGTTTATTTGCCTAATGATGTGATGGAGTTTCTTGGACACTGTACATGAGAACGAATTGGAGATTAATCCTAAACAGATGCAGAGGATGAGAAGACAACTGTTGTGCATTTTCCCTGGCAGTGCTTCTGTCTGGCTGTCACTCAGCAGCTGAGATGCAATTTTTCCTTCTTTCCTGAGGAACATTTAGAGCTGATAAATGTTAGGCAGAGAGTGGAAGCTGTCAGTGCATGAGATGAAAGATCTGTGGTGCCAGATAAACTGTTCCTGCTTCCCTTTAACCAGGCAGAGGAGTTGCTTCACAGAATCACAGAATTCACAGAATCCACAGAATCACAGAATTCACAGAATCACTGGGTTGGAAGAGACCTCAAAGATCATCGAGTCCAACCCAGCCCCAACCCCTCACCCAAACCCTGGCCCCCAGTGCCACATCCAGGCTTTGTTAAACACACCCAGGGATGGGGACTCCACCACCTCCCTGGGCAGCCATTCCAGAGCTTTATCACCCTTTCTGTAAAACACTTTTCCCTGCTATCCAACCTGTATTTCCCCTGGTGCAGCTCGAGGCTGTGTGCTCTGGTTGTGTCAGTGCTGCTGGAGAAAGAGCCCAGCCCCAGCTGAGCACAGGCACCTTTCAGGAGCTGTGAGAGTGATGGGGGCAGCCCTGAGTCTCCTTTGCTCCAGGCTGAGCACCCCCAGCTCCCTCCCTTCCCTCTGAGCAGCAGCTCAGTGTTCCCAGGGTTCCCAGCCATGGGCAGTGGATGGGGCTGAGGCTCTTCCCATTCCCCCAGCCCTGCTTTGCTTCCCTTCCCTGGTGTCCAGGGAGGAGAGCAGGGGCACAGATGGGATGGGAATTAACATTCTCCACCCTCTTTTTGAACATTTGTACTGATAAAAATAATGTACAGTGGAAAGAGTGTGGTTTTGCTTCAAAAATATTGTAAAGGAAGGAAGTCTAAAAGAAATTCTTCCCCAGTGAGGAAAAAGCATCTTTGACTATAACCTTGTACAGTTACCTAGAGGGCCCAGTTGATGCATATGGGAGCACACTGATATCATATATATGAAGACATATTTATTAAAGAAAGAACTTAAAAGACATTCAGTATAGCCAAAAAAATCAATTTAACTGGCTTAAAACACTGAACTTTGTCTAGCTGTGAATTACTACTACTACTAGTCAGAGATCAAACAAAACAGCTTGAAAGTCAGTTTAAGGCAAAGTTTTGGGTGAGCAGGTGAGGGACCAATAATAATGTACTTTAATGAAGTTGAAATATGGTTTAAAAGGGGGAAAAAACCCTCATGACACAGGGATTTTGTATGGAATCCTTGAGGACAGCACTGTTCATTGCAACACTGGTGGGACAGGGGCACGTTGCCTTCATTTAGTTTCTCATCCAGAAAAGCAGGACAGCCAGGTGGGAATGAGCTGTGCCCACAAATGGATCTGTTCTCTCCATGTCTGACTTCACCCATTACTGAGGGGCAGGCACAGAAGGGATGAAATTGCCATGAAAGCCTCTGAAGTGCACTCTGAGCATTAGATGTGAGCTGCAGCTGAACATGAAAGGAACTCAGGGGGTAGTGGGTAACCCATAAAGCCAGTCCAGGTTTGTCCAAATCCCTCTGTGTGCTGCTCAGGAGGGTGCAAGCAAAGGAACTTCTGGATCTTTGGGGTCTCTTTTAGAAGACAAACCCAGTGATGTGCCTGGTGCCCATTTCAGCTGAGGAGGTGGGGTAAGGGCTGGAATAGCTCATGTTGTTGTTGTTGTGCAGACTTTGGGCAGGCTTCAGCTTTTAAACAAACTCCAATGTGAACAGTGGGGGAAAGCCTGAGCAGGAAAGCCACGTGCTGTTGGGGTGAGGGAGCTGTGCAGGTGAGAAAGTTTGGCTTCCTCAGGAGAACTGGAGCAGTCCCATGGAGCTGTGTCAGTGCAGAGTTACCTGCTGGACACCAGACATCAAACCTGTACATTCTCAGAAGAGTTTATTAATGTGGCAATGCAGAGGGCTCCATTCTGCTGTCCCATTGAGAGGGATGGCAGTGTGCTCTGCTGTCAGCATCAAAGTCACTGCATTTCCATCTCACCTGGTGCCACCTGAGGCCCAGAGTGTCCCCAGGTAGGGTGGTGATGGTCAAGGCTTGGGGCAGGCACAGCACTGAGCACTTGTATCCATAAAAGAGCTGCCAATCCCATGCATGGATGGAGTGGCTCCTTCTGAGGAGAGTGAATTTGTGCATGGCTGATGTGTGACTTTGTGACCTGATCAGAGCAGGCACAGAAAGTGATAGCAAACACTTGGTGCAATGCTGACATCTGCCACAGCTGCTTGGAAACCTGCTGGGGTTTTGTCTCAGAAGGCTTTTTGCCACCTCTTGGTCTAAAATCAGAGCCAGGACTAGAAGGGGAGCAGGGAGGAAATCAGTACAATTTGCTGACAGTCACTACAGTTGCACTTTTTTGCTTTTAATTGAGGCAACTAAGAACTGGCTGCCGTGTTCCTGGCTTCCTCCTGCCTTCTATAAAGTAGCTTTGGTGGGATTCTGTGGCAGCAGCTCTCTGGCCACAAAGAGAAACACACAACTTTCCCAGGCATTGCCTGAGAAAGTCTGTTAGAGGATCAGAGAAAAGAAAGGGAAGCAATTGTAAACTTTACTTGCTGCACCTGTTGCTGTGAACATGGGGAATGTGTTATGGAGATTTGTTTCCCAAAGGGTGCTCTCTTAATTAGCCACTGGTGATTTGATTGGAGGACCAATCAAGTCTACCTGTATCATAACTGTCTATAAAAGCAGTGGGTTTCTTAATAAAGACAGAGATTGATCAGCCTTCTGTGAATCAATGCTAATTATTACCCACTGTGATGATAGGATTGCATGTCCAGCTTTGTGGCACCAAGGATTAATGTATGTTTAAAGGGTTAAAAGCTGTCAGAGTGCAGTGTGAGCTCATAGCACGAAGGGTTAATGTATATTTAAAGGGTTAAAAGCTGTCAGAGTGCAGTGTAAGCTCATAGCATGAAGGGTTAATGTATGTTTGAAGGGGAAAAAGCTGCCAGAGTGCAGTGTAAGCTCATAGCATGAAGGATGAATATGTTTGAAAGGGTTAAAAGCTGTCAGTGCAGTGTAAGCTCGTAGGATGAAGGATTCATGTATGTTTGAAAGGGTTAAAAGCTGCCAGAGTGCAGTGTGAGCTCATAGCATGAAGGGTTAATGTGTGTTTAAAGGGTTAAAAGCTGTCAGAGTGCAGTGTGAGCTCATAGCATGAAGGGTTAATGTGTGTTTAAAGGGTTAAAAGCTGTCAGAGTGCAGTGTGAGCTCATAGCATGAAGGGTTAATGTATATTTAAAGGGTTAAAAGCTGTCAGAGTGCAGTGTGAGCTCATAGCATGAAGGGTTAATGTATGTTTAAAGATTTAAAAGCTGTCAGAGTGCAGTGTGAGCTCATAGCATGAAGGGTTAATGTATATTTAAGGGGTTAAAAGCTGCCAGAGTGCAGTGTGAGCTCATAGCACGAGGGGTTAATGTATATTTAAGGGGTTAAAAGCTGTCAGAGTGCAGTGTGAGCTCATAGCATGAAGGGTTAATGTATGTTTAAAGGGTTAAAAGCTGTCAGAGTGCAGTGTGAGCTCATAGCATGAAGGGTTAATGTATATTTAAAGGGTTAAAAGCTGTCAGAGTGCAGTGTGAGCTCATAGCATGAAGGGTTAATGTATGTTTAAAGGGTTAAAAGCTGTCAGAGTGCAGTGTAAGCTCATAGCATGAAGGGTTAATGTATGTTTGAAGGGGAAAAAGCTGCCAGAGTGCAGTGTAAGCTCATAGCATGAAGGATGAATATGTTTGAAAGGGTTAAAAGCTGTCAGAGTGCAGTGTGAGCTCATAGCATGAAGGGTTAATGTATATTTAAGGGGTTAAAAGCTGTCAGAGTGCAGTGTGAGCTTATAGCATGAAGGGTTAATGTATATTTAAAGGGTTAAAAGCTGTCAGAATGCAGTGTGAGCTCATAGCACGAAGGGTTAATGTATATTTAAAGGGTTAAAAGCTGTCAGAGTGCAGTGTGAGCTCCTAGCATGAAGGGTTAATGTATGTTTAAAGATTTAAAAGCTGTCAGAGTGCAGTGTAAGCTCATAGCATGAAGGATGAATATGTTTGAAAGGGTTAAAAGCTGTCAGAGTGCAGTGTGAGCTCATAGCATGAAGGGTTAATGTATATTTAAGGGGTTAAAAGCTGCCAGAGTGCAGTGTGAGCTCATAGCACGAAGGGTTAATGTATATTTAAAGGGTAAAAAGCTGCCAGAGTGCAGTGTAAGCTCATAGCATGAAGGGTTAATGTATGTTTAAAGGGTTAAAAGCTGTCAGAGTGCAGTGTGAGCTCATAGCATGAAGGGTTAATGTATATTTAAGGGGTTTAAAGCTGTCAGAGTGCAGTGTGAGCTCATGTCATGAAGGGTTAATGTGTGTTTAAAGGGTTAAAAGCTGTCAGAGTGCAGTGTGAGCTCATAGCATGAAGGGTTAATGTATATTTAAGGGGTTAAAAGCAGTGTGAGCTCGTTGCAGTTTGTCCGTGGTCACCTGCGGGCTCCCAGGTCACTGGAGAGCAGCAGAGCTGTGCAGGGAGAGCTGCAGCCGATGGCAGAACTGCCCTGAAGGGTTAAACTCTTGTCCCCGCAGGCCGGGTGTCGTTTTTCACCTCGGGCTCCGAGAACCTGCACCGGGTGGAGAGGGTGAGCTGGGGCACTCGCTTTGCCATCACCATCTCCTTCAGCTGCGACCCCCAGCACGGCATCGGGGACCCCGGGGCCACGGGGCAGCCCTGAGGGACAGCAGCCTGCGAGGCTCTTGGAACCTCAGCTGCAATCAGAACTGCCCAGCTGTGGGAACAGCTGGCACACGCTTGGATTTCACTGCTCCTTTTCCAGGAATATTGCAAATGGTGGCTCAAGGACCATCCTAAGTGTGATGCACTCTGAAAATTGGATTGACTTCATGTGCCTTGGGGACAGACTGCAAAGAAGAGAGGATGGGCTCCACAAAAAAGAGGGAATGGGCTCCACAAAGAAGCAAGAATGGGCTCCACAAAGAAGCAAGAATGGGCTCCACAAAAAAGAGAGAATGGGCTCCACAAAAAAGAGGGAATGGGTTCCACAAAAAAGAGGGAATGGGCTCCACAAAAAAGAGGGAATGGTCTCCACAAAAAAGAGGGAATGGGTTCCACAAAAAAGAGGGAATGGGCTCCACAAAAAAGAGGGAATGGGCTCCACAAAGAAGCAAGAATGGGCTCCACAAAAAAGAGGGAATGGGCTCCACAAAGAAGCAAGAATGGGCTCCACAAAAAAGAGGGAATGGGCTCCACAAAAAAGAGGGAATGGGCTCCATAAAAAAGAGGGAATGGGCTCCACAAAGAAAAGAGGATGGTCTCCACAAAAAAGAGGGAATGGGCTCCACAAAGAAAAGAGGATGGTCTCCACAAAAAAGAGGGAATGGGCTCCACAAAGAAGCAAGAATGGTCTCCACAAAAAAGAGGGAATGGGCTCCACAAAAAAGAGAGGATGGGCTCCACAAAGAAGAGAAAGTGGGCTCTTCATTTTAAAAATATTTTTAAAAAATTCTTCAGTTTGAAACATAGAAACAATCTTTTGGGCCATGCCTTGATGTGACTCCCCAGGCTGCTGTTACCTGTTCACTTCTTCAGTCTCTTCATTACTAAGGTGGATAGAAAGTCTGACCTCAGTGAATTGAGCCTCAGTTAATTGAGACCTGAGTTAATTGAATGTTCCTGTCTAGAACACACCTTCTGTTGAGAGGGATGGATTCTCTGAGTGTGGGATCAGTGGGGAATACCCTGGGCCTTGAACTTTTTTTAAAATTTAATTACTACCGATTCAATATTCAGGAAGTCTCTCAGTAGCTATTTTTTGATTTCTCTTTTCCAGTTTAGTATGAAGACTTTTTTTGTTAATGAGAATCCTGAATATTAAAATGCAGGTTACTCCAAGAGGAGCTGTGTGCAAACACATGCAAATCCTGCCAAATACTTTAAGGTTTTTACTGCAGTCAAAGATTTCTGTGGGTCAGGAGGTTGATAAATAAACGGTAGAAAAACCTAATTCTTTTTTTCTCAATCAAATTCTGAAATAACCACATTGATCTGGTTTATTACCTGGGTGTATAATTTCTGGGTGTATAATTTCTGGATGTATAATTTCTGTGAAACACTGAAAATCTGGGAATGTGCTTTGTTTTTTTTTCTATTTTAATTTTATGCATACGGTTTAGACTTTATAATGTAACCTTTTGTGGAAATAATAAGTACTGGGGGGAATTACAGTGAAGATCAATATAAAGAGGAATAAGAGGACACTTGGACTTGTGAGGGCTCTCACTGGGCACACCAGCAAGATTAGTCCTCTGTAATTTCATTTCTTTGTTCTGAAACCTGAAAAAGTCTTCCTTGTCTGTACTAACCAGGGAGAATTGTTAAATTGGCTGGATGCAAGGAAATATTAAAGTCACTTGGGTTTCATATTGAAATACTTGTCTTAAAGCCTGTTTTTTCCAAGGAATTTACATTACACCATGTTTTAAGTCTGTGTGGAAGCAGACCAAGATCACCAGCATCTTCAGTGGATTGAGCTTGATTCAAATGTAGTTTTAAATGAGATTTAAATGTAGGGCAAAAGCCTGACATGAATGGCCCTGTGTTTGCTGGTTACTCCTGTGAGTGGCACTTCTGGAGCTGCCCTCTGTCAAATCCTGCTCAACAAGATCATCTCAGCCCATGGGGGAAATCTCAGCTCATCTCCTCTTGGATTTTCATCTTCTGAAGATCCTGTGTCCTGTAATAACTGCAGCCCATGGTGCATCTCCTGCTGGGAGCTGATGGATGTTCAGAAATAAAATCAAGCTGGTTTTTGCCTTTTGGAGTTTTTAAGCCTCAGTAATCTGGGCAATATGGTGACCAACCCTGTGATTTGTTGGGAAATTTTGCACTGTGCATGGTGGGAGAGCTCCTCTTTGGAAAAAAGCCAAATATTTTGTATGTTTTAGTGCCACTGAGATTCTTCTATTTAGAGCTTCAATATCCAGACTACTAAAAGCAATGCCTAAATCTAGGGAGAATTTAAATGGCAAATGAGGAAATAAAGTGCAATATAAAAGTTTGTGAAGGTGGCCTCCAGCAGGAAGCAGTAATTGCAGAACGTTCCTGGGGCACAGTGGAATTTGAATTCACTGCTTAATAAGAACAAACTTGGTTGAATTTATTTTAGGCCACTTAAATACCCTGAATAACTTTTTATTAAGGGTCTCTCCAGGTGATGGCATGTAACTCTGAACTTGAAATAGATTCATTTCTGTCCTCTTGGAGGCTCAGCTGCCTGTTGCTACTGGGAACTGCAGGCCTCTGATTTTTTAGAGCTCTGACTGCTCCAAGGGCAGGATTTCTTCAAGTAATGAAGAAATAATTCAAGTAGCATCAATCTGATGCCAAACTGCTGCAGAGAAGTGCTCTCAGCTGAGCAGAGGTGATGCCAGAACGTGGCTGGGTGTGTCCCAGCTGGGTGAGGACCTTTCTGAAGAGTTAAAGTCAAGAAAGGTCAGAGCTTTGGCACTGGGAATTGGGGCCCAATGCTGATGGTAAAATTACAGCTTTGCACCTGAAAGCAGGCTTGTTACAAGTGTCTGGGAATGCTGGGTTGGATTTGGGAATAAATTACTTGAAAGGAAAGGGAAAGGCTGCTGGTGTGAAAAGCCCCAGAGTAAAATAGAAAATGCAGCAGGAGAGGAAGCCAGATTGGACTCCCTACAGTGAGACTGAGTGAAGCCTCCTGAGGACTTCTGTGAAGTTGTGCTACTTTTAAAACCACATTTCCATTCAAATGTTTTGTGGAATATCAGGAGCTTCTGAAAAATTGACAGGTTTTGTGGTCACATTAGGTTTTTAGTGTACACCTACCTTTCAGTCCTGTAGCATGCATTCAATTTTAATTTTTTTATCCCCTGTGATTCTAGGAACTCTAGGTGGGCTTGTTGGCATTTCTCATGGGTAACATTTTTATTGGGTAAGCAGTTATGGAATCATTGTGGCTCTGAATTCCTTGTAAGTCAACTGAAGGTTTAGGAAGGTACATTTCTGTTGAGATTTTCCTGATTGTGTATAATCCACCTGAAATATTCTGCACCACCATGGTGGGTGAATTCCTGTATAATCCACCTGAAATATTCTGCACCACCATGGTGGGTGAATTCCTGTATAATCCACCTGAAATATTCTGCACTCCATCTCAGTTTCAAGTCCAGAAATGTTTACAAGGATATCAAATTCACAGAAAGATTTTAATTTGGATTTTTAGCAGAAATTCAACTTCATGTCTTATTTTTAAGGTCAACAGCTGTGTGCTTTAGGAGGTTGTAGCACCTGATAATAGCACATTGAAATCAATTAGCTGAAAAGGCATTGAAGATCACTGTGAGTAAGGAAATCTGGTTTTGTTTCTTCAATTGCATTTCTTGGTATTGAATTGCTCCCTCACAGCTCTCCTTTCTCCATTAAAAGAAGATTATTTTGTTTTTAAAGAGCTCCTGGTGTTCCTTCTCCATCCAAATATCCTTGCACAGTGTTTGCAGGGGATTTGCTTCTCTAAGCTGCCCATGGAGACCTGTGTGCAATATTTTTGTCTTGTCTAAATTCTAAATTCTAAAACCAGGAAATGCTGCTGGAGGCCAGGGCTCTTTGAGCGGGGAAGAATAAATACAAGGAATCTACCTTCTCCAAGTGAAAAAAAAAAGTAGAATAAAAATAAATTAAATGAAAAGAAATTAAAAATAAAATAAAATAAATAAATAAAATAATTAAAATAAAATAAAATAAAATAAATAAAATAAAATAAAATAAAATAAAATAAAATAAAATAAAATAAAATAAAATAAAATAAAGTAAAATCCCAGCTCCCATTTTTGAGTCTTTTGTGGAATTCCAAGCACACATTGCAGGAGCAGCAGAAGAGTTCTTTCCTTTCTGAACCCCAGGTGGCTCTGGCACACAGGGATTGTCCCAGCCTGGGAAATGCAGCCGAGTGCCCCCTGCTCTTGGCAGCACCCTGAGAGCTGCAGCTCTGCCTTGCTCGGGGGCTTGGGAGCGCCCTCAGGAAGCTGAAAGTTCATTTCACGTCCTTGGCTGAGCCCTGCTTTCAGCTCTCTCCTCCTGATTGTTAATTTATCCCCCAAAATAAAAAAATGTGGCCATTTTTCATCTTCTGTGAGTGCTGCTGGCTTTGTATAACTAAAAAACTGAAATTTTCCAGGGTGGGCTGTGCAAAAGAAATAAATAAATGTCTGATTTCCCAAGTACACATCTTTTGAGTGTGTCCATCATCTCCCCTCACAGCACTCATTTCACCTCCCACTTCTGTCCCAGGTAGAGCTCAGGGCATTATTTATTCACTGACTGGCTTGCTAGCACTGCAGAGAAACTGTTTTTTTCCTCTTTTCCTTTTAGCTAACATGAGGTATTAATTGTAAAATTAATTTTTACAATTAATTAATCATAAAAATTGTAATTGTTATTTTCTATTAATATTTATTAACAGGAATTTCATAAATTTTTATTAGTATTAATAGTATTTAATAATATTAAATAGTATTTCTATTAAATAAAAATTAAATATGTGATTATAAATATAAATATAAATACTATTATATTTACTACTATTTATAATTACAAATTATAAATATAAATACTATTTATAGTATAAATAGTATAAATACTATACTATTACTACTATACTATACTATTACTACTATAATTATAAATTATAAATATAAATACTATTAAATTAGTATTTAATAGTATTAAGAGTATTAATTAATAGTATTAATAGTATTTTTATTAAAAATAATTATTAAATTGTATTACATTAAATAGTATTTAATAGTATTAAATATATGACTTACATATTAATATTTATATTTAATAGATATTAGTATTGAATATTACTATTACTATTAAAGAGTACATCAATTAGATGTACTATCGAATTCAATTAAATTTTATTAATATGAATTTAATTAATCTCTAATTAATCTTTATTAGAATTATTTCTAACTCCATTTCTGGAGATTTTTCATTCCTCAGCATTTGTTTTATTCCCAAATACTTCTATTTTCCTTCTAGCAGAGGCATTGTCCATGTTTAGCCCAATTATTTCAGAAATGTTTCTTTCCATCTTGCCTGTTTTCCTGTAAAGATGAAATAAGGGCAAGGTGAGCATTCTTGAGCATTCTTGTGTTTCCTGGTACCTCCTGGACAACAAGGAGGGAATTTTGGAACAGAGACCAGGGTGAGTCAGACCTTGGGACCACAAGAGATGCTTTGCTTGAATAATTCTGACTCTGGAATCAATAAAGCAGCCTGGAAGTACCATCTGCTTTATTTTTGTAGTATTGAGATGCATCTAATTAAAAATATCTTGGTTTGCTGCTGAATAATGCTGAGGCTGCCCAAGGAGCCCATGGTGGGTGCATCCATGAGCTGCCAGGTCAGGCTGATGGTTCAGAATGAGCTGCACTGAAACCTTCCCCTTTCTGAAGGAAATATTCTATTTATAGGGAGAAGCTGAGATTTGTGGAGTGTTCATGTTCCATGTTCCTGGGAATTTCCTGGTTTAGTCCTCCAGTGTCCAAAAAAATCTCATTTTAGACATGGGTACCCTTCCTGTTCTTTTATTAACAAACCACAGCAGCCCCTCCACCCCCCAAAAAAGCAGCAGCTGAGTTCCTGAGCCACAATTTTCCTGTTCAGACACCTTGAGGATTTGTCTCTCTCTTGTTCCTCAGTTTATACAATTCATTTAAGCTGTTTATATAGATGCCTGGACACTTTGCTGCTGACTCCACAGAAAAAAAAATAAATAAAATCTTGCTGTTTTCTTTTGAGAGAGCTTTTCTCTGCCAGGGGAAGGTCTCTGGGTGGATTCCTACCTTGGAGGTGACCTCTCAGCATATGAACTTGCCAGCCAGACCATTAAATCTTGTGGGAATAAACAGAGGCAGCTCCTAATGGAGTCGTTCTGCATGTCTTGGCTCAGGGTGGTGGCTTCTTCCATCCCCTCTAGCAGGGAATTGTGTTTATTTCTGATTTATGTTCCTGAAAAGCAGACGTGTTCTGGGAGTCCTCCCTGCATAATGGGCTTTTAATTGGGCTTCACTGAATAACCTTGGAAGAAGAAGCTTTTACCAGGTGATTCAAGACTTAAAAAGCTGCTCTGAAAGAAGACAAACCCTGAGCCCATTTAGTCCCCACACTTCCCAACACAAAAGAAATGAGAGAAGTGATCTTGGATTATTTCTACTTTGCTCCAGGCCATAAATGTGTGTTTTCTTGGTTTCTTTCTACTAAAGGAAAATAGGAATTAATTTGAGAGTCATTCCTTTCCACAGGGATGATAAATATGATCAAAATAAACTTTGACAAGTAGGGAAAAAGCAATTTTACAGAAGCCAGCCAAGCAGGGGGGAAGGTAAATTTCAGATGA